ATACAAGTCTTGGCTAGGAAGAAAGTGCCATGGAGCTGCACTTCCTGCCACGGGTCTTTTTGACAAGAGCAAATGATCTGGATATCAATCTCGTTGCTTACAACTGGACTGGCACACCCTGTTGACTACCTTCTGAAATTTACTCGAAAGTACTTCTTTTCCAACTGAATCACATTTCATCCATAGTAAACGACTGTTTCATTGTTCATTCACTGAGTCTTAAAGTTTGCTAGATTAAATGTTGAATACTTGATTTTGCAAATAAAATTTGGATTCCAGTGCCCTATCGAATTTCCTACAATTGTTGTTATGTGGGTGCAACAAATGTCTACACCGGAAGTTGTTTTGCGACGATACGGATTTCAAACTAATTCTTCCTTAGGTGAATTATTAAATTTTATTGCTGAATATTAAGTTGCTAAATTTGGATCATAAACATTACCAGACACTAAACTAGTAACGAATCAAATTGCTAGCGTCCAAGCAATAAAAAATGAGAGGATATTTTCGAACAAAGTTAAAGTATCTCACTTTTTTATAATATTAATGAAATTTTTGCTATAAAAGTGATCAATTTTAAGCGAAAATGCGAACTCACGATTTTTAAGGTTCGCATGATTGTCGAAAATTTCTAAATAACCTGGTATAATTTGAGGGGGCAAAATGCTACCTTTAAGGAACTGACGTATTTCATTGAATTCGGCGATTTGTGAATATTGTGGATGTTAAAGCAGGCTGATAATAAATAAAAATGTTTGAAAAATATTTATATTGTCTGGATTAAGAGCGAATGTTTTGCAAATAGGGCTATATAAACGCACGACCACTTTTATCTGTATATTCTTTCACACCAATCAATGGATAAGTTAATTCAGATTTAAATTCTTTCAAAACATGGCGCCGACAGATGAGGGGAAGTTTTTTTGTTTGTAATTGAGAATTAGAATGAACTATTCTGCATTTTTTATCGCGTGTTGAACAGGATCATAATTTTCTGAAGGTAGAAAATTTCGATATCAATTTTTAAGATATTTACTTATCATATAAAAAACGTTAAAGTTTAATTTTAACCCCCTTTATTCACTTGTGAAGTGAATCTGCCTGGTCCCCTCAAAGGAAGTAGTATCAACTAAAATATTGATTTTTTTTAGTTAACTGACAGGATTTGAGAAGAAAATATTTCAGCTCAAAAAGGATTTCGTCTCTTATGGGAATTAAATACAAAATGAGTAAGATTTTTATGAAAAGACTTTAGTAGAAGTAGAACTTTTAAGTATTTAGTTAGGTTATCACTAATCAATCATATTTTTTGTTTAGTTTATGCCAAAACATGTTTTGACTAAATTAAAACCTATGTGGTTTTAAAAACGAAGCAAATTTAAATATCGCAATGATAACCAGGCCACGAATTCGTTTTAAGTTAGACAAATTAATTCAGTTTATAGAAACATATATAGATAGGTAAACTTCAATATACTATTAGACGATTAAAATTCTATTAAATTTACAGATAAGATGAAAGAAAGAATGATGTAATTGCATTCCAGTTTGCAATGCAATCAAATCTGCAGTTTATTTGCCGGGATAATTCTGTGTTTCACCAATATTGAAATTCCGTGTACATAACCAGCTTCTAAAGGCACACTTTGATTTTCCCTCTAATTTTAATTCTATTAAAAGGTCCCACGAGAAATTCGCATTTCTTTAATTACAAAAATCTATTCAATATATACGTTGAAGTTGTAAAAACAATATTATTTTCATTAGTTCATTGATTTTTGCGGATTCAATTCATCCTGTGATGATTTCATTTTGTTTTAATTGTCAACGCTTATTTTTTGACTATGATCTCAGATTTACAAGCACATAAACCCCCTTAATATAGAGATAGATATTTTTTAATTATATCTAAGAGCAACGTCAAGTTATCAAAGACTCCTTTTTATTAGATTTTTAAATTGGAGTTTTTCTTATTTTACTCACTAGGAATTAAACTTTCTCTGTTGAATGCTGATTTACCATTTAGTCCCCAAGAGGGGCTGTTCTTGTCACCTTACCTCGCTTATTCTTCCAGCGTTTGAGAAGAAAAACGGAGCACAAAAGTATTTTTGGCTTCGGACAATGAACTTATCTCACACGCTTCAAAAGCACATATGAGCATTGACCACGCAATTGACAGCTTAAGATTTTATCTACGCATGTGTGTTGACTTCGGCAAGACGTATCATGCGGCGAATTCGCTCGAAACTACCTAATTTTCTACTCAGTGCATGCCACTCTTATGAAACTTGTCCGATCACCATGGCATCAATCATACGGTCACATATAACTCACACATTACGCTATTAACAATCACCACATCCATTAGCCTCGTAAACTAATTTCCCTCGCGTTGGTCTATTCGTTTCTCCCTTTAAGGTTTTTTATTTATAGACTACCATTTGTAGTAATTTATGTTAATCTATTCAGATGAAGCAATGATGTATGCTAGTTGAAAGAATGCAAAATCGCCAGAATGGCTAAGAGTTCACAATCGATGATCTATTTACTTCTTCCTATGAATTACATTTTGTTAAGCTGTTAAATAGCTTATATATTTGTCAACCTTAATTCACCTCTCTCATTTTGGACCTTAATCAAAATAATTTATTCGTTTGCTTTCGATTCAGATGACGTCATATGTAAATATATACGATTATACAGGTAGAGGCCGTAAAATTTCCTTCTATCAACCGACATTCTAGACAATAAGAAGCCCAGTAAAAAGGTATTTGAAGTAACCTTATAAAAAACTAGACGCTTTCAAGATAGATAGCTATTTAGACATTTAAATGGTCATATCTGACTGTGGATGTCATAGCCTGATAGATACTTAGGTACACTGGTCGAAAAATTCTGAATATGGAGGTCTTGAATTCGGTCTAATACTCAAGGACTAAGTAAGGAAAATTGAGCTTTAGAACAATCGGTGATTGAAAATTGACCCTATCGAAAGTGAAAAGTGATCAAATTGAGTAAGACTTTGAGATATAGACTCTATGAAAAACTTCTATTCGGTACCTCAGTGCTTCCGTACAGAAATATTTCCTAATTCCTGTTGTGTAACGCCAACCTTTACTTATAACTAGCAGAATTAGAAAGCGATAAAGCACTTAACCTGAATGGTTGGAAAGTAATGCGCATCCGCGTCTATGTGGATCTTAATAACCACCATCAATCTTGTTGGCTAAGAATAACTAATATATTTCATTGACCATATCACTTATTCGCAGCACTGGTAATCAGTTCTAGAGACTCTGTGCACAATGGCCATTATCAGACTTTGTTTAAGAGTTTTATTTTGTAAGGAAAATAATTTCACATTTGATTAAATTTCACTTGATCTCAAGTGAATAAGCGAGTTAGAACATTCGACCACAAACGGCGCAAATCGATAAATGTCTCCTATGACATACAGCGCAGAGACCATTGCGTGATCAAAATGGGTCTTGATAAGATCTTGCTATCAACAAAATTTGAGTTCCATTCATCTCTAAAATAAATGCTCAATTAGAACCTTGACGTCGACATATCAGAAAGAATTTAGACTTCAACGAAGTGTTAAATATTCATTAGCAATCAAATCATTTGTTTTATTTTTACAGAGGCATGAGCAAAAAAGACCAATTAATAAAATTTTGTTTCCCAAATTTACGTCCTTTGAATATGGATTAATCGAATTACTTAAATTTACCGTGTGACGTGCTTCAAATTTTACTTGAATAATTTCATATCTGAGGCGCGGTGGCACTTAGATAATTAATACTTTGGATTAGAGGTAAATTAACTTTTTTCTTGATCCAGGAGAAAAAAGTTAAAGTGGATCCCACTTGCTTAGCAAATGCGCTTCCTTGTTCATTATAGTTGAAGAGGCGACACGAAGTCAGAAATAACTTGTGTTCTACCTAGATTACCATAATCAAGTAGAGATTAATGAACTTATGAATCAAAGTATAGATAACATCACGCCAGAAACCATAGTTTTGTTTGTTGGTTGCTAATTATTAAACCCACACGAGCATTCATTGTTAATTGACAAAGGAATATTGTTATTGCAACACAATACTTACGATTACTATTCCGTTAGTATCCGGGGCAAGTTCAGTATTTTAACTGTTGACAAATTTTTTATGCAAAAGGGTAACGATTATCTTTACAAATTCAGTGGCATATATATGCTTCTTCATTGGGTCATAATTTTGACCATTTTTATTTTGAAACCCATTTAGAATTTATTTTTGGTCTAATTTTCAACCCCATATAACTATTAAATAAAATGAAAGACGGGTTTACTTGAATCCACCTTCTGAGCTTAATAATGGAAATAACTTTCTGCCTTCCGTATCCAAGAGCTTGCGTTCAAATTAAATTTATGCTTTTATTATTAAAAATAACATTGGAGGGTGATAAGTCGACTGCTAACACGATACTTTGAGTCTTAGAGGATGACAAATAAATCAGATCGAATTCCCGTTTGATAATAATCTTTATCAAATCATTTTAAATTGTTTACCAACTGAAAGTCTTTTTCTCAGAGCATCGCTTTCTACTAGAACGATGTTTACTTCAGTTTAAGTGAACCAAGTGCGTGAGTAGAAACAGGCAATTCAACTCCTCTTCTTTAAACGAAAATATGCCACTTAATATGAAGAGGGGGACATTTCCTATGGACTTACTACTTGAAATCTGATGATGGAATAGAATGCCTCGTAAAGCACTCTCTTTGATGTGCTGGAATTTTGAAGCTAAGCATTCTATCCTTAAATTCGCATCCTCGATAGGACCTTCAAAGGCCTGAACCTAGGAGTATCATTAGTATTACCTTTTGAACGATTATTGAATGAGATTACCTGAAAGCTCTATTATTTTTTATAATTTAAATATTTTCCTTTATTTTACCATTTAGAAATCCCAAAACTTCAATATGGAATAAAGGGTTAATAGTAAAATATCTTAGACACTTACTTCCCAGTAAGCATAAGCTGCGCTACTGAATTAATCAGGTAAAGAGCCTTCACCGCCAAGTATAGTCCACAAAGATAGGCAGATGAATTGGTTGTACATGGCCGGGGTCCAGGAACTCGTGTTTGCTTTGAGAAGGTGAGAGGTACAACAGGAGTACTAAATCGCCTTTCTCCATTTCCATTTCCATTTTCCCTCTCTTCTCCATTCTCACCATTGTTACTTGGAGAGGTTAATTGAGACCAACCCTTGCCATAGTGACGCTGATCACTCGAGCGAATTCGTTTTCCTCGACGTTGTCTGCGAAAATGACGAATGGCCAAGGCATCTTCCAGGTGGCGGACCAGACAGTTGATCAAATCTTGATGTTGTTCTGGGGATCCATTCATGCATTTAAGTTCCGAAGATACCTCCATCACTGTTTGTAACTATAAAGAAAATTTAGTTAAGTAAAATCTTGTTTATCAAAGCGGGACAAACCACAATTATGAACTTAAATTTATTGAAGCTAAAGCCTGTATCTATTTTTGCATATATTCTAAAATATCGGAGGCTTTGAGATAATACGTTCAAGCCTTTGTGCCAATTGTTTATTAGAAGTGATTTTATACGAAGTGAAGATTCTGTCATCTTTCAGAAATAAATGAGCAATAACGTCTGGCGAACACGTATACATAATCACTAATTGCACCAACCCCCTACATTAGATTTTAATATTAGTCGTTATCGAAGGTAGAGACATATAGTTCTAGATATGTTGCTGAAACCTCTAAAGCAAAAAAACACGAATTGATCAAAGATACATTATATTGAATGACAATACATTTGTTCTGTTAAAGAGGTTTGTTCCGTTATAGTAATATATACTCTTGCAGGATTGGCTCATAACTGCTATGAACTAGTTGGCAGCTTCGCTGGGCAAGTAATAACTAGCAGGAACTGGAGTGTTCTACCTCAAGCAATGCGGCAAGGTATTGTTTTTCCCCAATAAGTGGGAAACAATTTTTAAACCCCTTTTGGGCATTTCTAGTAAATGGAATGACTAATCGCCAGGCTTTCTAGCGGGTAACTAAGGTGCTTGCCGGATGTTATTTGCCACTTTCAGTGGGCTGTACCCACCTGAATGTACATTTTTGTTAATTGAAAGTTGCCTTCTTTAAATATTAGTGTTCAAGCAGCTTGTATTCAGTAAATGTTGCTCAATTCAAATCAATCTAAATTCTTACGTTTATTGGCATTATCCAATGAAAAAGAGCCAAGAGTATGCACTCCAAATAAATAATGCTTCGGATTTGGTCTTCCCTTAATATAAACAAATCACGATGGAGAGGGGGGTTGGACATAAGATTTTTAACAATATTGTAAAAGGGTCTAGGAAAAGCACAGGAAACTAAGAAAGCAACCATAACGCCCGTATTTTACCACCCTCTGTGAATGTCAGCATTATTGGAATTCTCCAAGTTTGCATTAATCAAGTAGAAAGTCCCTACTGATTCGGTATACAACGTGGCATGCGCCCAAAAATAACTGGAAGGGACTAATCGCCCCAGGACAGACTGAATATATCGAATCAAAGTAAAATATGGAAGATAATTAAATCGGTTGAAAACGCTAGATAAATGCAAGGTTCTTTTCGCCGAAAGCCAAATTTTGAGGCAAATTACTGGTATATGAAGGGCTGGAATGAATATCGTTTGGGAATTCGATTTAATGGCTTATTTGTGTGATTTTCGATAAAATTAAGTATAATGACTGAAATAATTTTTATCGTAATTTTATGAGTAATTGAAACATTAATAAAAAGTTATGAGAGAAAGAAAAAGAAGAAAGCTAAGGAAAGAGGGGTACGTTGGAGAAAAAGTTTACGTTGGATTAATAATAAAGAACGCTCTTCGTTTATGGAAGCAGAGTAAATGAGGTTTAGGCCCAAATTTGGGATAATATTGCCGATAATTACTGATTTAGGGAATGTAACTCTCCTTGTGGTAAGGCTATTGTCTTTAGCAACCGTCATTCTGGAAAAAAATAATAGTCGGATAAAATGAGGGATTCAAACGCCGATGATCAGCCAAATGATAATTTTTCAGTTATCATCACATGGAAATGATTGGCTTCTCTGCTGTAAAATTTTAAAAGTTGATCTCTTTACGCAATCGGAACCTTGCAGTATATTTAGATTCGATCTAATTGGGAAGTATCTTCATTTTGGTTACTTACATGGCCAAAAAACGCATATTTTGTTTTCATTTGACTGTTTAACGAATGTGTGTATATTAAGTGATTTCACTCATTCTGGTAATTTAAGGAGTTTCAAAATCCATTTAACTTGCATAAAAAATGATTTTTATGTGCAAGATCGAATGAGAACTTTATAATAAATTTACTTTCAAAAAAAGTTTTAAATAGCAGTTTATTATTTGCTTTTTAGTAAACCAATGATACAGAGATGGCATATTCCACACGGATTAAAACCTACTTACTACAATGACCTTTTATTTTGGATAATTTTGCTAAATATTGGTTGTAGACTTCAATTTTGTTATCGGACCGGTTGAAGAACGTTCGAATCAATGTTAAGAAACGAGTTCTTTTAAAAAACTTGGGTTACTGTTATTTTGGAAGATTGAAATAATCGAGTAAAACCGAGACACATTAATCTCTCTAATAATTTAAGTGGTTTGTGACATTCAGTAACCTTGCTTCATTAGAACAGTTCATATTTAGCATTAAACCAAGCAAAACAATTTCCCAACTATCCATAAAAAATATTCTGATAAGGTTATGTCTACTTCTACAATTGTCCTTGGAACTATCGATTTGCTGTTTATATTAAATGAAATTACCCTCGTAACGTTTCAGTCATAGTCAAGATACATTTCAACTGATAAAAATTTATCTAAATAATTGGACTCGGGTTTAAATTAGACATTTCAGACAAAGACATTAGACGTTCCAAATAAACTGCCTAGAAGCTCGTCATTAGTCTAATTATAACTAATTTAAATGATACCTGGAATCTATTTGTGAAAGGGTGTTTAATATCAAGGATGCTTGAGTTAACGATATTTATGGAATTGTTAATTTAATTAACTGCTATATCAAACTAAAATGCAAAATTTTTATGTATGCTGATTTTATATGAAATATTGTTCAAAATCTTACTGAAATTATGTCATTAAGTACTAGTTTAAATAAAATTTTATTTTTTAAGATTACGCTATGTTGTTTTATGGCGTGCACATTTGATCTTACCAATCTTATGTGCACATTAACTTGTCTCAAAAGAGTTACCTCAGCGCCAGTGACTAAAGCTATTTGCAAAATATTCGGGTACTAACTTTAAATAGTTATATAGTAGTAAAAAAAGAAGAGAAGTGGGCAGGGAATCTCCACTTTTCAGAAGGGTAGGTTTTATGGAACATTTTAAAATTATTTCCTTTCCATCATAATTACTATGAAACGATTAAATATTGCAGTCTTAATAATGGAACGTTGAAATTCATTTTTTTTAAGTTAAGGAATATATGAAAATTGATTGATCCCAGAGATTTGTTGGATCATTTTCTGGAACTTTAATCTCCACTCTTCAATGAGACTGAGCTTTCCTTCATTTTCACCTATCTTTGATACATTCTTATTTAGTGACACGGTTATTCGGTATTTCTCTTGCTTATTCAAAGACGCTTTCCCGTAAATCAAAAAATGGTAGAATTCGTACTTTATTATCTCGTGTTTCCGTTCATTCTGTTACCAATCATGTGCTTTGCCGTGCCTCATATTCTTTTGCTATTATGCAGATGCATGCAAAATTATGATTAATGGATAAAATCAGGATACTAAAATGGAAAACTGAAAGCTTCTTCTTGTTTTACTAATTCTTTTAAATGTCTTTTAACTATTCAACGACTTGTTAAAATGAATGGACTTAATTTGGCTGTTTAAAAGATAAGCTACAGCGACTCGAAAGTGATCTATTTTTTGTGATATTACGTCTGAATCGGAATTGGTTTCGAAGAGGATATTCTAATCTACACAGATGTAGGTAGATTTTTAACTCGAAATTCATTTCAGATCTACCGCATTGACGTATAGAAAAGCGAATTTTCATTTAGGTAGAATCTAATTTAATTTACAAAGCGCAAATTCTGCTACTCAACCAATTCCAAAATTCTAAAGAATTACATTTAAACTGAGTTTTCAATTTATGTAAGGAAGAAAATAAACCTATTCGATATTTATTCTTGAAATGCAAAATTTCATTTTATAATTTCTCCCATTATTAATAAAACTAATTTTTGTGATATAAAGTCCGTAATCCTATGTGAATAACGTCATTCTGTACACAAATCGCGTTGAATTGTAGTAATTTTTCATCAAAAAGCATGCTGTTATCTGGTTGCGAACCTGGCCGAAAATTTATGATTCTTGGGTGAAAGATAACAAAGTTAAAATAATCCTTAACCATTTACAGCTTGAATTGAGAGTCGACCGTAGTAATAACTTCAAACAATGAAAAAGTCTTGATCTAAGTTAAATCTTTATATTTTTCTGTTTAATAAATAGCTTTTTAAATCTAAAAATAAAGACAAATAGAATTTCATGAAAATAAACACAAAATTATAATTTCTACTTTTACGTCATACGTATTAACTAAAATTGTCAGTTTTTTGTTTAAATTTACCTGATTAGGAAGTGTATCGATTTTCATGGAGAGCAGTTATGTTTCAACCGGTAAGTGGATTTAAACAAAAGGTGTTTTTAATTGCATATGAAAGCAAACGAGGTGGAGAGAAAGGTGATCATTTACCCAAATGAATCATCTAGATGGCGACGAGAAGGGCAAATCGAGACATACATTTTGGAGAATCTCTAAACGCGTTAATATCAATTTAAACAGGCAAGTAACGTTATTTTCTTATTTAATATAATCAGGAAGAATGTAAGTAATTGAAAAGACAAATTTACTCGATTGATAGTGCTTGATTTATGGAAAGTTTACCTTTGATTAAATATACACATTTAAAAGTAATTTAGCTATAAAATGTTCTGTTTTTTAATGTTCAGGAACTTACTAAAAGCTTAACATTTAGAAAACAGTTGTTCGAGCGCCAAAGTCGTGAAGATCGTTGCAGAAAAAGCAATGATTGATGTGAGGATCTTCAAGAACTATTGTAAAGAATGGTTCTATGTGAAGTCTTTGTCGAATTCTTGCACACTATGCACATTTTAAGAACACAATTGAAATTTTTGGGTTGCGTCAACTTGCAATAGACTTACTACTGAAGTATTTTATCTTCCCAATCTTTTTCACTTTTTCTCAGCAATATTTGATATTCAAAAACATCTCCGGTAATCGATTCCTAGCATTTGATAGTATAAGGACGTATTTCAAAAGTTTCAAACCTGGTGAAGACACGGACTTCTTAATTTATTCTAAGGACTTTAAAAAGAGACTTTGCCTTCTATTATTACTACTATAACTGTTTTATATCAGCGCTGTCTGTCTTTTCCGTTTAATGAAAGTGTCATAATGGGTGTTGGTTCCTTAAACATGGCTATAGATACTTGGGGGACATTATGCCAACGAGAGTGTGTTTTATTAATGCCTTGTTTGCTATTTTAGTCATTGCGAATGAAAAGATGAGATTCACATAATATTCTTTGATAGTGAAAGCGAAATATATTTGTAAAATACACATTTATTGTTAAATATTCAAGGTCTTGAGTTCAAATTCAGTGCTCTTGAAAATCTAAGTTGATCAAACTCTATGGCCGTGGAGAATTAAATAAGAGCACTCCGTTTTTTAAGTTATACCTACATCAAGATCCATGTGATTCAGATTTTTTCCACCTTTTACTCATTTCTTCACATGACTCAACCCTTTCAAGAAGAGAGATATGTTAACAATATAAATGTATTAATTTGCACTTATCTCGAGAGGATATAATAGGGAATGCCTATTTTCTCCGGACATGTGTGTTAAGTACTGGTGACTCTTGATAATTACTTTAATACTAAAAATGTGGCATAGTGCTGAAAAATACATGATGTAAGTGGATATAAGGATGTTTTGTGAGTTATTGCGTGGAATCGTGAGAAGGCAAATTGGGTCTTGGAAATAACAAAATTCAAGTAATCAAAACATATTAAGAACAGAAATAATTAATATTTGAAATTTTAATATGATTTCTTTTCAATTAAAGAAATATACTGTGTGAGTAAAATGTGTGCTAACAGTGTGCATTCTTGTGTTAGAAACACTTACTGGTGCAAAGGCCCAATTCTTTTTTATTAATGGGACTTATTGGCAACCTACGTCATTCGAAATGTTGTATTCGTGACTTGTATTGTTTTTCTAAATAACCTATATTTCAAGGGATAATTATATTGTCTCCAGTGAATTTTAAATTATTTTTGACGGTTTACGTAGAAACAAATCGTCCCGTCAATAAAATTACCTCACCATAATACCAATTTTTTCAAATATCCACTTGCCATTTTGAAAAATAAACTTAAAGCAACTAATTGCTGTTAAATTACTAATATTGTTAAAAGCATTAACTATACTATTTGGAACCCACATGATCATTTAATTTATCATTCTTGTCTTGAAAAGACTGAATAAATTTAATTTTCCATTAATCTAAAAGCCCAATTATATTTTCCCAAATCGGTTATTTTGATGAACATTAGCTCTTATATTTTATTTCCCACTTTGTTTTTGTCTGGCTCTCGATACAACCTTTACCGAAGGATATGCTCCTGCAATTTTAAAGATTCGTTTCAGCAAAATTACAGAATTTTTGATAACTCCAAATTGGAATTACGGACTTGAAAATTCGTAAAGGCTTGGGATATAAAAAATTTGCTATTGTGGGACTCGGTTTTGAAGCAAAGGTTGGAAAGATTCAAATTCAAGTCATAGTCATTTCCCTGTTCTCATAACCCAACAAAAACTAATGTACATTTCGAAGACCTTAAGTTTGGAAATTGGGGTTTAAGATAAGACTGCTTTACCCAGATCTTCAGATCAACCATTTTACACGGGCTAAACTGATTTAATGATCCACATATCCACTTTGTTGGGCAAGCGACAGTGTTAATCAATATGTGTGACAGATAATTTCATCTACTTGAATGTTAAAGATGAAATCTGAATAGGAATTTATTTCACATTTGGAATATCATCTTGAATATCAACTTGTAATCTTGATGTCAACTGCCAGAAGAATTTTGATTTATTTTTCAACTTCCAGCAAAATTTTTATTATAAATACGATTCGTTAATGAGGTTAAGATTCGTTTATAATCGTAAAAGTTGGTAAACTTTTTGTAATCTTAATTTCCCTTTTATCGCAAACTTCATTGGAATCTTTTAACTTATGCAAGAATTCTATTATAGTAATAGGTTTATAAAGTCGTAATTTGAGAAAATTCCCACTATTCAAAATTACAAATATGTATCTGTTAAGCTTCTGAACTTTAAGAGTACAAACAGGTACGAATTTGACTGGAACCCGTTAAAATATTTTTACTGCGCTGTAACACAACCTCAAACTTTGTGGATATTATTAATTTTTGGCAGCAGTTCGGTTTGGATGCGTTAAAGCTGAAAATGCGTTTAATACTCGAAATAAATTTCAGCCTCAAACATAAATGAGCCAAGAAGCAAAATTTTAAATTAGTATTATCTCAATTAATAGTAAAAGCTTTTCAGCCAATGATTTGCTCGGGACTAGTGTGATTGTAATTTATCTGAATACAAACAGTAGTATTTGCGTATTCGTTGTTGTTACTCAATATAAGTTTTTGAACAAAACTAAAAGTATATTTGATTTCTTACCTGTATGAAACATATATTCATACATATACATTCGTTTTGGTATAGAAGAAGTGAAATAATATTAAATGGTAAATGGCCTTAAAGATCTTGACTTGATTAAATATATGGACGCAATCACTGTTGCCTTAAGGCTTATGGCGATGGGGACAGGTGACCTGAATTGGTCGCCAAACTTTAAAGATTGAGGAAGCCAATTAAATACCCTTTCCCATTTTAATGATAAGGGGTAATGAAGATGAAGCGAATTATGGGTCGATTGGTAATTTTTCTTCAGTTATATTATAAGTTGAACTGTCTGAAAATGAAGAACTATTTCAAATAAGGGCATATTAGTGTAGTAAAACACGGTGAGTTAAAGCACAGTATTACCATGATAGTCTACCCTTTTCCGCGTTAGAAAAATAGCGTTATTATTGATAGATTAACGGATTTAATTTCTGCACAAACTACAAAATTGACTGTATCCATGTCACCACCATTTTAAAAATTGATGGGAAGAGGGTAACATGGCAAGATAGCTTTAATACTTCTCTCTCAATTATACTCAACACTACCCTTATAAAGCTACTTCCTTAACTTTTAAATGGCATCAAAATTTGAGTGATGGAAGGCTACGTTCCGAAAACACCTTTATTATCAATGGGTTTTTAATAAAAGCATTTATTTGCTTTACTTATTTACGGAATGTGTGCTGATGGGTTCCTACCCCTTGTTTATGGATAAGTAGATTTACGTGAGTATTTCTTGGGCAAATGCTGCATTAAATTCTACAAAGTCGCCACGATTGGCAATGATCCTCCTTTAAGAGCATCCGACCATTTTAAACCTGGAGACCTTTCAAATACTTTACTTTTTCACTTCTCGTTAAGTTTATTCACTGAGCAGTAATTCAAAATCTATTTTTTCTGGGTAGACGAAAACTTGTCCAATGAATACAGAAAGGATCTTATTTGAAAATAGCTGATGCATTATTAATCAGTAGAGAGAGTAAGAATAGTAAACAACAAATAGTAGATAGTAATGAAATAAATTTTAAAAAATCATCAGATATAAGAAACTTCCATTAAATCATTTTATTTTCTTCTTCTAAACCTAACCGTATTAAATATAAATTACTTAAAAAGATGACGTCGTTGGTCAAAACGTCGAAATCAATAAAAATGAAACATGTAAATATTTAAATCTATGGCTATTATATTATAGTGTACATATTAGGTAAACATAATTTTTTTCGAACTTCACACTATTAATTGTTCAATTCATGCAATGTGTTGATAAAATCTATCAAGAGGATATACATGTGTGAATTCTTTTGTAAGGATTAAGCCCTACATCTAATTAGTGGTTTGATTTGAGACCAGTGGACATCAGCCAACTTACATTAATTCTTGACTGAGCATTGAATAGCCTCCATACAATGCAAGGTACAACAAAGAGTGCCGCTTGAATCATTAGAATAAAAGGAACCCATTGATAGTATATCTTCTTCTCATACCGAACATCTTCCTCGATTGGCACGGTAGCTTGGGCAGGGGGAATAAAGTACGTAGAAGTCACCCAGCAAACTGTTTCTGCATACTCTCCTTGAGCCCCTGTAAAATCATTTGGAATCCAGCAACTAATCGGCTTGCCCACGAACTGACGAGAAAGAACTACAGCGGTGAAAAACATTATTAGATTCATTGTGTAAGTATGGTTAACTCGATCCACGAAATCATCATCCTGGCAGGACTTGTCAGTGCCAACGGAAGCGCCAGAATTGGCTATTTCGTCAATTATACGTGTATCCATGGCATGCGAACATTAAATGTCTATTGTAGGTTAAATAAAATATGAGTTACCACTGTCAAGCTGGCATCAAACTTGTTTCTGAGTGCTGAAATGTGTCACAATATTCAAGGGCTTCGCTCATTGGTTATGGGAGCTGGCCAATGGCTGCACAGATCTGTCCGTTTTGGAATTTCATTTGAGAATTAATGTGCATCTTAGAACTGAAGTGTCACTAATAAAACCCAGGGTTTTATTTTAAATTCGCAGTCGACCATACATAAAATGAATGTATTGAAAGTATCGTTTCTTTGTGCTGCGAATTTGGCCAATTTAATTCATTGTTACTGTAGGAAATTAAAAACGATTATTTTTTAGTTTCGATTAAACGTCTGCAATATCTTCGGTTATAGTATTCTAAAAACTTCACGAATACATTATATTCTTTAAGGCGCAGATAATCGGGGCATTTCATCAAATCGTTTTAAAAGGAGCTAAGTTTTAGGTTATTATGATACTGTAAATTCCAAAAACTGCGAAAGGAAATATTCCCTTCTACCTAAGTCTTAACAGAGTAATGAATATATTGGATTATTTGAATGTATTATCACATCATAGTATCATATAAAATTCACTATTCTGAGAAAAAAGTATTATAAAAAGTTTAAATTAGGTAAAATATAAATTTTAGTTATCACCCTTCGGTTTTACTAAGCCTCTAAGCTGATGAACTGTTTGCAAGAACTGTGTACCCTCCTATTGGATTGCGAAAATTTTATTTTGAAATATTAACTGCACACTGGGTATATATGGTGCAGCTCAAGTCCAAAAAATCTGATAAGGGAAAATTTGACACATTGAAGTTGACCCTTGTATATTTTTGATTCCCGTCCCATTACCATTACTGAAATTTGTTATTCGATGCAATTCGCTTCCGAGAAGTAAAAGTAAGCAGCATTATTGCATTAATCTGGATAATAGTAGTAATATTTTACGGACACTTAAAGTGTTATAATGTATGAAAGAGAATATTTGATAATTTGCGAAAGATATGAAATTAAATACTATAATAAGACCAACCATGGCTGTTTTGGGTTTTCAAAATAATTGCGGCAACTAAAGAAGCAGCAGTACTTTAACAAACAGGAACAATTCAAGCAAAAGAAATCTCAATCTCATATGAAGAAGGAATATTTTGAGTAGAAAATACCTATATTTTTCAATTATTCGCCTTATTCTCAAATTTACTTAAGTCTCTTAACTTGAAGTTCCAAACGGATATGACCAGATTAAAGTTCTTTTTGACAACTCATTACCAAAGCTACTTTCACTTAGATTTAATCAAAAGCCTTCAAATCATTTCATGGATGCCAATATTTACCAAACTGCAAAGATTTAAAAGGTAAAAAATTATAGTGAATACTATAAGTTAATCATCGCAAATCTTTTTTTCTTTTTTTGAACTGTCTATAACCGTTAAAGGGATATTGATTTATTTTTAAACTACTAATTTGACAACAACAACCAATTGTTGAAGAGCCATTTATATTAACTTTGTGAACCAATGACGCAATGTCTACGAAATCGTTCACCACAGGATTGTTATACATTGGTACATGTCTATTGATGGCGATATCGGAACGCCCCAGTAATTAGTGGTTTATTAGAGTTTGCTTGTACTGCCTGAAATGTTCAACGTATTATGCCACTCACGCCAAAGCCAAGGATGGCCAAAATGATAGCCAAAAACGTCGAGACTGAAAATTCGGAAAATTGACTGAATATGAATATGAATATGAATTTAATTTAGCATAATTTAAAACATTGGTCTTACTTTAACCAAGATAAGAAGACAGGAAGGTGGCTGAAAGTATTTGTTGGACAACCAAGGTAAAGAGGCTGGGCTTCGAATATTTCTCTATATTGAAATATATTATGGTCAGCCGGTGTCTCAAAAATCAATGATTGATTGAAGTGCCAAATTAGCACACAGTGAAGATGATTGATGATTAAGTAGGCCACACTTGTTTTGGATCACCATGAGGTCAGTATGTTCCAATATCTGTGACCCATAAAACTTATTCACTTGGCAAAAAGGGGATTTGAAACCAACTTCTATACAGTGATTGTTATTAATTTGTATCAAATTTCAAATACGAGAAAAAAATATTCCATTGCGAAATTGGTGTAAGATTTAATGCATAGTAGGAGCATGGGGATAAATCATAGAATATTTGAAATATTTGGATTTTTATGGACGAAATTCCTTCTCACTATTCATGTATATAAATTATTGGAGGCAATTAATCAATGATATTCTAAGATTAAATCGCATATTTGTAATTAACTTAGGCACTGAAAGCTGTCGAAAATTGCCGAATGTGGGGTAAGTCTTTCCCCCCTCCAAGTCTTTTAATCCTCTCCTGAAATCAGTTCAGCTCCTCTGCTTTCGTTCAATTGGGCAATCATTTGGGTACATTTCTTCGAAGTTAAGGCTTTTTAGGTAGCTTGTTTGCCGAGAACTTTGTGTATTTGTGGATATAGCGGCACATAAATTTAAACATTGACTTGTATTTTATTTCCTTTTAAGATTTTCTTAGATATCCAAGCTGATGCATTAGCGTACTCCAGGGTTTTAAAATGTGGATTTAAAATTGGAATTTCCTCTTGAGAAAATTCGCGAAATTATGGTTCTTCATCAGCTCACAACTTCAAAAATACCTAAATGGCACAGGAGTTTTGAGTAACCCAATATATCTTCATTTATATTAAGAATGATACAGAGGTAAATCTAGGTAGATATTTCAATCCAAGATTTCGAGATAACACTGTAAAGCCTAGAAACTGTTTGATCATATGCAAAGAATACAATAGATTGTTGCACATCTAATCAAACAATAGAGTAACGGTGAGTGTTTGTGGATAGTGTAAATTTCAAATTGAATGTATTTATTTATATCAAATGGCAGGCGTTTTGATAGTTATCATTAGCCCTTAAGTTGACTTCAGGCTTCACAGAGGGGAATGAACATCAAAGTGAAAAAAGTCGAGAGGGGAGGGTGAACAGAAGAGTGCTTTAAAGATGTAAAAGAGATAGACACAACGGTAGAAAAATGTGGGATGAGTACTGTGGAAGTAATTGAATACGACACACAGTGGGGTTATTGTAGTTTGAAGTCAGAAGTCAACTACCGATTGATAGACATTTTTGTCGTATGAGTATACGTTGCCCAAGGTGCCCCGCGTGGAGGTTGTAAGTACACGTTGCCCAGGGTGCACCACGTGGAGGTAGTCGTATGAGTATACGTTGCCCAAGGTGCCCCGCGTGGAGGTAAGTCTATCGCGCACCCGGGTTCCGGGGAAGTATGGTTGCAAAGCTTATTTATTTATTTATTCAATGTAATGCAATGAGTGCCTTATTCATTTTTTTATTTTAAAAACGGTCTTAGCAAATAGATAAGTTTAACTTTTTATGAAAAATAACTTTCAATTTATTCCGTATACTTCAGTTGGCAACGCATCAAAACCTTACCAGACGCAAGTTCTGAAATTTTTGCAATTCACAGCTGACTAATCAAAGTCAGTGATGATTAGGCCTAATATCCTTATAACCAGAATGGAGATTCTGTCGTGGTGACTGGTACCTCTGTTCTCATTCAATGTTTGCCTTTCCTTTAGTCGGAAATTTTTTACGATTTAAAAAGCTTTAGAAAGCAACTTTCTGTAAGAGATGGTGAAGAGGGGATAGAATAGGTAGCAATTTTTTGCATTAAAGGTGTATATAAGCTGCTAACTAGGTGGTTTTGAAATTTAAATGCTGTGAACTGTCCTGTGGATAACTGTTTTAAACCTAGTCTTTAATCCCCAATGCCAATTAATTGATTGATCAAACAGGATAGTCAATCGTGCCATCTCACTTCTTCATCCATGGGGTAATAAAATAGGATTACTTTGGTTACTTTTGCATAGCTAATACGATGTCAACAAAGCAGGACTGGCTAGAGTTTATTTAATGTGAGGGTAAATAACGTATTCCTCATTCTAATAGCGACATTCACATGACCATACATTCTTAGCTAAAATTAATATGACCATAGTAGTTTCAATTACGACAAAATGCGAAGAAGTAAAAGAAACCCAAAACAATCTTCTATCAGTCCCTTTAGAAAAGAACTTCTTCCTGACAAAGAAACAATGCTGTCAATGCAATTCCTGTCTTATAATGAGTGTCTGCTTGGGATGAAGCTGCTTTTGACATTTTAAAAGCAAGGTAATTTGTGCAAATTAATTAACATATCACTTATCCTTTATAGTTTTCATATATATTTTACGCAAATAGTCCAGCAATTCAAAAAGTTGTTGTTTAGCAACTACATAGTTTCATTTTCTTTTCATTTTAAAAACTCTATGAATGATCTTCTAATTTATATTTTTTATTTAATTTTCCTACTTTGGATTGCTTTCAGCATTTCACCATAAAACTCATGTTAGAAGGGACATCGTTTCTGAATGACAAGTACCATATGCTCTGACAATTAAATTTCTTTCTGTTTGAACCAGTGTTTATTTGCAATAAGGCCTGTTAACCATTTTATATTTACAGACCCATCGCTTTTTAGTGCTGTTGGAGTCAAATAGTTATTTGCAGTAATATAAAATTTTTACAATTTTTACATATGGGAAATAGGTCCAATTGTTCTGCCGAAAGTCAAATTAATAATTAAGTGGAGGAGATCCACAAGCATGTGAGAGCAAAATGTTTTTGGTAGCAAAGAGTAGAATTTCATTTGATCTTTGAATTCAATCTGTAAAATGTTTTCCAAATAGGAAAACGGAACGAAACGTTTCCAAATCCAACATTCCCTTTTCATTTCCTGAGTTGTAACGAAATTTAATCCGTATTATAAGGAAAGTGAGGTATTCTCATCTTTGTTGGAAATACCTTGGCTTCCACCAACTAAATATGTAAGAAGGAATGGGCAAAGTTATTGAAGAAAAGTGATTTATTTCTCACTTTAATCAAC